TGAGTGGTACTCTAACACCTAAGTGGGTTCCCCTTAAACATCACAAACTATTGAAATTATAAATATATACAAGGTGGAGTATCTTACATGTGGGTCTGAAAACAATTCTTTGGTAGATACAGTCCTAGAATGAGATACAAGAGAGCAAAAAATAGTGTAATACTGTCTGTAATATATATTGGAGTGCAAAAAATGTATAGAGGTACACTCACAAGTGTAGAGCCCATATGTGTTGGGCTCAAACTTTCAGCTTTGTGGGATTTTTAGGGTCCCGCTCTATCCTCTGTTTGTTGGGATAATTCCCACTCTTTGATTGTCGTCACAGGTTTCAGTATAGGTATAAATAACTGTTTTCAGACCTACATGTGAGATGCTCCATCTTGTATATATTTATATGATCATATATTGCATAAGCCTGCCACAACATCAATGTACCCTGTTGTGTTAGGCTTATGCAATATATGATCATATAATGTAACTAAACCCCCCATTATTTTTTGCCTAGGTAAGGTTTTTAAATAAAAAGATTACAATCTCTAAGATTTGAAATCATTGTTTAGTGAATAAGCGAGTGCGCTGGATTGTATATTTTGTATATTTTGGCCCCAAGCAGCTCCCTTTAATGCATGCATGTTCAGGTGAGGGCTGCCCTCTTGGTTTCATTTAAAATACATTTAGAATAATGTTATAAATACATATATTTATCTATCTATCTATTTATATACATATTTATTTAAATTCTACAAATATAGCTATATAATATTTTTACATAATCAAGTCATTATATGAATTACAATTTGAGGGACCTGCCTGACAACCCAGGCAGAAAGTCCAGAGAATTTGGCCTGCAATCCCTATATTTAACCCTGTAACTTTCCAGGACACCATAAAACCTGTACATGGGGGGGTACTGTTTTACTTAGGAGACTTCGCTGAACACAAATACTAGTGTTTAAAAACAGTGAAACGTACCACGACGATGATATCAAACTTTGTCAAAAACAAACAAGATGTATTAAAAAATAGATGTATTGTTTATATTTTAGCTATCATATTTTGTAAAACTTTTTTCTAATCACATCATAAAAAGGGTATTAAATTAAATATTGTGGATATTCCCACTGAGGTCTTGAGATGAGCCATGTGCTACCAGACAAACTTCTGAAGTTGGCCTAATGGTACAGAGTTTAATTGAAGGTTAGATAATCAACAAGTGCACTTAATTACAACAGGTACACATTTATCTTACATCCTCGGTCCATCCACCCTGAATGTCTTAATGCTGTGTATTTTCAGTCATTTACCCATTCAGTTTCCAAATGGTGCACTGGCTGATGTTATACAGATATATTCACAATGTATAGGCATAGTATTCATATTTTAAAGGTTTAATTACTAATGCCTTCAAGTTACTTATTGTATTTTTAGTAATAAGTTTATAGCAAGCTTTGAGATCACATGTACTAAAATATTTGAAGAATCTGCAGCTGCTTACATTGCAAGAGTTCTAAGCTACATTCCTGTCATGAATCATGTGATCGAGACATAACCACAAACGTAAAAAAACTCAATAGAACTTAGAATTAGCAAACAAACAGAAAAACCTTCTGGAATCCAGTGCACCAGCATTTATTGTCAATTTTAATTATTGTCACTATTTATTATTGTGTGGTATTTGTGCATTTGACATAAAGTATCTTACCTATTTCGAGTTTTGCAGTCAAACAATATCTGTAATAAATGCATTTCACATGTAATATACTGTAAACAAGTCCCCATTATGTAAAAAAAAAACATTCTGTGAGATTTCAAATATATATATATTTTTAAACGCAATATAGTTAGGTCCAGAAATATTTGGACAATTTTCATAATTTGGCTCTGTACGCCACCACAATGGTTTTGAAATGGAACAACTGATATGCAATTGAAGTGCAGACTTAAGTTTTAATTCAAGGGGTAGAACAAAAATATCGTATGAAACTTTTAGGAACTGCAACCATTTTCATACACAGTCCCCTTATTTAAGGGGCTCAAATGTAATTGGACAAATTAACATAATCATAAATAAGCTGTTAATTTTAAATACTTTCTCGAGAATGCTTTGCAGGCAATGACTGTTTCAAGTCTGGAATGCATGATCATCGCCAAACAATCCTGATTTTAGGGTCCTATAGCAGGGTCCTGTCCTGCTATACCGCATTTGTTTACTGGTGTCCCCTCTTTGGGGACGCCACAGATCTGTCCCCAAAAGTGAAGGGCTAGTGCATCATTAGACACGTTCACACTGAGGACATTAGAACAAAGTAGAGAGGACTGTGCTCCCTGCATTTTATGCCTTCAGTGGGATGCTCTGTGTGACTGAAAGTTGGCCTCTTAATTCTTTTACTCATATTCCCCCAACAAAGGCATCCCATGAATTGGGGCGCTTGAGTAAGAGGTGGTGGTCCAGTAATACAAATCATGTCACTGGTGCCACCCAAAGTTGGCAGACCTTTCAGAATTCATTTTAAGAAGTAAAAATTCTAAGTGAATATAAAATTTAAAATAACTGATCTGGAAAAGTTTTCCAGCTGAGCGATGCTCTCAGTTTAGCAACTCTGGCCTTAAATTCTAAATTCACGTCCAACTATTACTTTAGTAAATAACTCTTGAAAAATGTTCCTACCTGTATAAGTCAAATGTTTTCACACCAAGGTTATAATTTGTTAGTACCGGTAGTTAGTTTTTAATACTTTGCTAAATTGAACAGAATACAGAAAACATTAATGTGTGACATAAATAAATTCAAATATATGTTTTATGAAATAAATCCATAGGGAAACTGACACTAACATGGGATCTTATAAATCAAGTGGAAAAATCATAAATGAAAGGTATCATCATACGTGCGGTTGTTCAAATGTACACTAAAGCAGTATTGGTCTTTTATATATTTGTCTTAACTAGGGTCTTGTTTTCTTAAAAATTCTTGCTATCAGTCTTCTGGAAAAGAAAAATAAGATTCACAGTGCCAAACGTGAACCTTCTTCCATTTAAATTGAAAACAGAAGTGAGACCTTCGGGGCACATAGAAATAAGTATATATTTTTCTTTAAATAAATAAATAAATATTAAAAAGCCAAGATAACAGTGTTAATGCAGAAACATCGTCAAAGTTGTTTGATTTATAGATTCAATTCAACAGATAAAAGCATACTCTTGTACTGTGTATTATTTGTGATTCCACATATTGTATGGTCATGAAAGCTTCAAAGGCATTATGAAAAAAATCAGATCTCATTACTCTTCTGCATGGAGGGATGGAAGCCATTTTCTAAGTGGAAGGTTTGTACCTTTACTACGTATGATTTCATTTTTCAATACAACTTTAGTGAAGACAGTTCCTCTAGCTTGACTGGTTCCCCAGACACTGTGTGTATCCACCTTCCCCACCTACCACCACCACCCTCTGTGTCTCTATCCTCCTAATCCCTCTGTGTGGCTCTTTAACCTGTTCCCCAGCCTCCATGTGTATCTGTTTTTCCCTCCACAGACCCTTTTGTATGTCTCTTTCCCTCAGCAGGATTTGTCTATCTGCTCCCTCAGCCCCATCGGTGTGCCTCTTTCTCACTGCATCCCACTTTCTGTGTCTCTTTCTCCCCTTCCCCAGCCCCTCAGTGTATCTTTTTCTCCCTCCCACAGGCTTTTTTTATTTGTCTCTTCTCCCACAGCCCATTTTGTATGTCTCTTCCCTCAGCCCCCTTTATGTGTATCTTTCTCACATTCCCCTTTTGTGTGTTTCCCTCCTGTTTACCTCTATATTGACGTGTGGTAGAGGCTCTTCTGTATGACAGGAAGCTGTTGTTGCTCCTGGTGAACATTTACTGTCAAACCGAATAGAGATTGCAGACAATCCTCTACTGTGGTCCGCAGAGCCACACTACATGTAGTGACTGACAGGAAGAAACACTTTTAGCTCTGCCCTTCCTTCCTGCCGGTCACCCCTAAAGTGGTGACCTGTGCTACGCCTCCCTTGAGTATGGGTTCCACAGAAGCAAAAACAAAATGTAATTACTAAACTAAGAATAGTGGGAAACTGAAAATGTAAAGTCAGAATAGCTAAATTGGAAATATTCTTCAAACCACCTATTTTCTAGATTTAGAGAAAAAAAATGCTGTGTGTTATATACAAAAACCAAACCATATTGCAAGAAAAGGGGACTGTATGGGTAACCATTAAGGTGCATGACCCTGATAAATTTCAACTAACAAACCAATTAGAGATCCAACTCCCAAAGAGATGGAGTCAAATCTCATGAGATTACCACTAGTATAAAACCACTTATTTTAACAATACAATAGTGATACAATTTAAGATAATTTGATTATAGTTCTTATTAGTAATAACTGGACACAACTTCTATATATACACTATTTTGAAGAAATATAATAAATAACATGAAAAAAATGAATAGATGGGAATTAAAACACTAGAAAGAGTACTAAGCTTTTTTCAAAATTTTGGAGATTTCGTTCTAATATTCATAATTTTCTTGCCAATTCTACACAACTCTTGGCTTAAAAATATCACAATGTGTGCTAATTCAATTTTTTTTTAATAACGTAAAAAAGCTGTGGAGCACAGTGACTCCAGTGTGAGCTGCCAGCTGCACCCTGATCCGGTGACAGAGCTGTGGAGCAGAGTGAATCCAGTATGTGATACCTGCTGCACCCTGATCCGGTGACAGAGCTGTGGAGCAGAGTGAATCCAGTATGTGATACCTGCTGCACCCTGATCCAGTGACAGAGCTGTGGAGCAGAGTGAATCCAGTATGTGATACCTGCTGCACCCTGATCCAGTGACAGAGCTGTGGAGCAGAGTGAATCCAGTATGTGATACCAGCTGCACCCTGATCCGGTGACAGAGCTGTGGAGCAGAGTGAATCCAGTATGTGATACCTGCTGCACCCTGATCCGGTGACAGAGCTGTGGAGCAGAGTGAATCCAGTATGCGATACCTGCTGCACCTGGATCCAGTGACAGAGCTGTGGAGCAGAGTGAATCCAGTATGCGATACCTGCTGCACCCTGATCCGGTGACAGAGCTGTGGAGCAGAGTGAATCCAGTATGTGATACCTGCTGCACCCTGATCCAGTGACAGAGCTGTGGAGCAGAGTGAATCCAGTATGTGATACCTGCTGCACCTGAATCCAGTGACGGAGCTGTGGAGCAGAGTGAATCCAATATGTGATACCAGCTGCACCCTGATCCGGTGACAGAGCTGTGGAGCAGAGTGAATCCAGTATGTGATACCTGCTGCACCCTGATCCGGTGACAGAGCTGTGGAGCAGAGTGAATCCAGTATGCGATACCTGCTGCACCTGGATCCAGTGACAGAGCTGTGGAGCAGAGTGAATCCAGTTTGTGATACCTGCTGCACCCTGATCCGGTGACAGAGCTGTGCAACAGAGTGAATCCAGTATGTGATACCTGCTGCACCCTTATCCGGTGACAGAGCTGTGGAGCAGAGTGAATCCGGTATGCGATACCTGCTGCACCTGGATCCAGTGACAGAGCTGTGGAGCAGAGTGAATCCAGTAGGTGATACCTGCTGCACCCTGATCTGGTGACAGAGCTGTGGAGCAGGGTGAATCCAGTATGTGATACCTGCTCCACCTTGATCCAGTGACAGAGCTGTGGAGCACAGTGACTCCAGTGTGAGCTGCAAGCTGCACCTTGATCCAGTGACAAAGCTGTGGAGCAGAGTGAATCCAGTATGTGATACCTGCTGCACCTGAATCCAGTGACGGAGGTGTGGAGCAGAGTGAATCCAGTATGTGATACCTGCTGCACCTGGATCCAGTGACAGAGCTGTGGAGCAGAGTGAATCCAGTATGTGATACCTGCTGCACCCTGATCCGGTGACAGAGCTGTGCAGAGTGAATCCAGTATGTGATACCTGCTGCACCCTTATCCGGTGACAGAGCTGTGGAGCAGAGTGAATCCGGTATGCGATACCTGCTGCACCTTGATCCAGTGACAGAGCTGTGGAGCAGAGTGAATCCAGTATGTGATACCTGCTGCACCCTGATCCGGTGACAGAGCTGTGGAGCAGAGTGAATCCAGTATGTGATACCTGCTGCACCGTGATCCAGTGACAGAGCTATGGAACAGACTGAATTCAGTATGTGATACCTGCTGCACCCTGATCCAGTGGCAGAGCTGTGGAGCAGAGTGAATCCAGTATGTGATACCTGCTACACCCTGATCCAGTGGAAGAGCTGTGGAGCAGGGTGAATCCAGTATGTGATACCTGCTACACCTTGATCCAGTGACAGAGCTGTGGAGCACAGTGACTCCAGTGTGAGCTGCCAGCTGCACCTTGATCCAGTGACAAAGCTGTGGAGCAAAATGAATCCAGTATGTGATACCTGCTGCACCCTGATTCAGTGACAAAGCTGTGGAGCAGAGTGAATCCAGTATGTGATACCTGCTGCACCCTGATCCAGTGGCAGAGCTGTGGAAGAGAGTGAATCCAGTATGTGGTACTTGCTGCACCCTGATCCAGTGACAGAGCTGTGGAGCAGTGTGAATCCAGTATGTGATACCTGCGGCACCCTAATCCAGTGGCAGAGCTGTGGAGCAGAGTGATTCCAGTATGTGATACCCGCTTCAACCTGATCCAGTGACAAAGCTGTAGAGCAGTGTGAATCCAGTATGTGATACCTGCTGCACCCTGATCCAGTGACAGAGCTGTGGAGCAGTGTGAATCCAATATGTGATACCTGCTGCACCCTGATCCAGTGACAGAGCTGTGGAGCAGTGTAAATCCAGTATGTAATACCTGCTACACCTTGATCCAGCGACAGAGCTGTGGAGCAGAGTGAATCCAGTATGTGATACCTGCTACACCCTGATCCAGTGACAGAGCTGTGGAGCAGAGTGAATCCAGTATGTGATACCTGCTGCACCCTGATCCGGTGACAGAGCTGTGGAGCAGAGTGAATCCGGTATGTGATACCTGCTACACCCTTATCCGGTGACAGAGCTGTGGAGCAGAGTGAATCCGGTATGTGATACCTACTGCACCCTGATTTGGTGACAGAGCTGTGGAGCAGAGTGAATCCAGTATGTGATACCTGCTGCACCCTGATCCAGTGACAGAGCTGTGGAGCAGAGTGAATCCAGCATGTGATACCTGCTGCACCCTGATCCAGTGACAGAGCTGTGGAGCAGAGTGAATTCAGTATGTGATACCTGCTGCACCCTGATCCAGTGGCAGAGCTGTGAAACAGAGTGAATCCAGTATGTGATACCTGCTACACCCTGACCCAGTGGAAAAGCTGTGGAGCAGAGTGAATCCAGTATGTGATATCTGCTACACCTTGATCCAGTGACAGAGGTGTGGAGCACAGTGACTCCAGTGTGAGCTGCCAGCTGCACCTTGATCCAGTGACAGAGCTGTGGAGCAGAGTGAATCCAGTATGTGATTCCTGCTTCAACCTGATCCAGTGACAAAGTTGTGGAGCAGTGTGAATCCAGTATGTGATACCTGCTGCACCCTGATCCAGTGGCAGAGCTGTGGAGCAGAGTTAATCCAGTATGTGATACCTGCTTCAACCTGATCCAGTGAATGAGCTGTGGAGCAGTGTGAATCCAATATGTGATACCTTCTGCACCATGATCCAGTGACAGAGCTGTGGAGCAGAGTGAATCCAGTATGTGATACCTGCTGCACCCTGATCCAGTGAAAGAGCTGTGGAGTAGAGTGTATCCAGTATGTGATACCTGCTGCACCCTGATTCAGTGACAAAGCTGTGGAGCAGAGTGAATCCAGTATGTGATACCTGCTGCACCCTGATCCGGTGACAGAGCTGTGGAGCAGAGTGAATCCAGTATGTGATACCTGCTACACCCTGATCCAGAGACAAAGCTGTGGAGCAGTGTGAATCCAGTATGTGATACCTGCTGCACCCTGATCCAGTGACAGAGCTGTGGAGCAGTGTGAATCCAGTATGTGATACCTGCTGCACTCTGATCCAGTGACAGAGCTGTGGAGCAGAGTGAATCCAGTATGTTATACCTGCTACACCCTGATCCAGTGACAGAGCTGTGGAGCAGTGTGAATCCAGTATGTGATACCTGCTGCACCCTGATCCAGTGACAGAGCTGTGGAGCAGTGTGAATCCAGTATGTGATACCTGCTGCACCCTGATCCAGTGACAGAGCTGTGGAGCAGAGTGAATCCAGTATGTGATACCTGCTGCACCTGAATCCAGTGACGGAGCTGTGGAGCAGAGTGAATCCAATATGTGATACCAGCTGCACCCTGATCCGGTGACAGAGCTGTGGAGCAGAGTGAATCCAGTATGTGATACCTGCTGCACCCTGATCCGGTGACAGAGCTGTGGAGCAGAGTGAATCCAGTATGCGATACCTGCTGCACCTGGATCCAGTGACAGAGCTGTGGAGCAGAGTGAATCCAGTTTGTGATACCTGCTGCACCCTGATCCAGTGACAGAGCTGTGGAGCAGAGTGAATTCAGTATGTGATACCTGCTGCACCCTGATCCAGTGGCAGAGCTGTGAAACAGAGTGAATCCAGTATGTGATACCTGCTACACCCTGACCCAGTGGAAAAGCTGTGGAGCAGAGTGAATCCAGTATGTGATATCTGCTACACCTTGATCCAGTGACAGAGCTGTGGAGCACAGTGACTCCAGTGTGAGCTGCCAGCTGCACCTTGATCCAGTGACAGAGCTGTGGAGCAGAGTGAATCCAGTATGTGATTCCTGCTTCAACCTGATCCAGTGACAAAGTTGTGGAGCAGTGTGAATCCAGTATGTGATACCTGCTGCACCCTGATCCAGTGGCAGAGCTGTGGAGTAGAGTTAATCCAGTATGTGATACCTGCTTCAACCTGATCCAGTGAATGAGCTGTGGAGCAGTGTGAATCCAGTATGTGATACCTGCTGCACCATGATCCAGTGACAGAGCTGTGGAGCAGAGTGAATCCAGTATGTGATACCTGCTGCACCCTGATCCAGTGAAAGAGCTGTGGAGTAGAGTGTATCCAGTATGTGATACCTGCTGCACCCTGATTCAGTGACAAAGCTGTGGAGCAGAGTGAATCCAGTATGTGATACCTGTTGCACCCTGATCCGGTGACAGAGCTGTGGAGCAGAGTGAATCCAGTATGTGATACCTGCTACACCCTGATCCAGAGACAAAGCTGTGGAGCAGTGTGAATCCAGTATGTGATACCTGCTGCACCCTGATCCAGTGACAGAGCTGTGGAGCAGTGTGAATCCAGTATGTGATACCTGCTGCACTCTGATCCAGTGACAGAGCTGTGGAGCAGAGTGAATCCAGTATGTTATACCTGCTACACCCTGATCCAGTGACAGAGCTGTGGAGCAGCGTGAATCCAGTATGTGATACCTGCTGCACCCTGATCCAGTGACAGAGCTGTGGAGCAGTGTGAATCCAGTATGTGATACCTGCTGCACTCTGATCCAGTGACAGAGCTGTGGAGCAGTGTGAGTCCAGTGTGAGCTGCCAGCTGCACCCTGATCTGGTGACAGATCTGTGGAGCAGTGTGAATCCAGTATGTGATACCTGCTGCACCATGATCCAGTGACAGAGCTGTGGAGCAGTGTGAATCCTATGTGTGCTGTCAGCTGAAAATGGCTGCCCGACCCTCGAGATTCCCTTTAGTCCTGTGTAATTGAATAGTGGTAAGGAGTATCCTCTCCCCCTGTCGCAGGACATTGTATCTTTCACTTACAGCAATAAAGAGTTACACAGCGATCACATGGCATTGACGTAACAGTCTTCCTGTGACCCTCATCCTCAGTTACCTCTTTCTGAAAATATTACTACCATCCACAGTAGTAGCTGTAAAACCGTATGAACATGTATAAAAAGTTAAAGTAAGACAAAAGTAAGGCTAGTAATATAGTGTCTTACTAAGCACACACCAAAATCTGTCTAGCCAGGCTAAGCACCCTCTCAAACCACCTGCTGACGCACCCTCAGGCTTCACACTAAAGGCTGATGGGTACCAGTTGGTGCACTGAGGTGTTGGGGCCCTTTAAGCTAACCCACAAGATTAAAGCAGTTGTAAATCACATTACACTTATAAAACAAAAAAAGTAGATGTGCTATACATGTTTCATGTAATTTCTGGGATGCAACAAAATTTTGCATATAATTAAAATGCATTTGAAAGCTGTTTTAATGGTATATACCCCTAACTGACATCTATTATGTAATAATATAGGTCAAATTAACACATTAATCATTGCTTAAATCTTTACTAATAATTAATTAATCAGTATTTATTCAACTTAATTTTCAGGACAAATTACTTAGTGGATTGAATGGTTTGCAAAGAATCAAATCTATGAGATGTGAGAGTAAAGCAAAATGGAACCAAGAGTACATAAAAACAAAGCAACATAGTGTAGCCTCATTTATGAGTAAAGCATCAGTTACTGAAACGTTTTGGAGACCAAGCACCTTTCTAACTGATTGTGGCATTTATTTTTGTGGGAAATTTCATTTTTTATTATGATGTTTTTGCTTTGATAGGGTACCAGAATGCTATGCATATTTCTCTATATCTGTTTTTGGTTCTGAAGTTAGCAACTAGAGTTCTTGTCTTATGTGTTCAAATTTACAAATAGATGTGAAAACTCTCAAAATCTCAGATGAGATCATGTGAGAATTATGTTTGCCTCATGGTTGCTACATCACAGGTATATGAGTCTTGCATACTTCTTTAAACTTCCAGGTTTTACATGTAGGCTTGAACACAGTATCACCATAGATATAATGTAATCAGCATTTACTCATAGCATATCTTATGAAAGTGCTCCAGGAAATTAAGGTAAAAAGAACAATAGGTTTCTTAACACTTGACAATGAAGGAAATGCTCATATTGCTAATAATTCAAGCAATGTATCCAGTACAAAAGTCAACGTGTGATACATGTAGAAATCTATTATGGCAGTATAATTATATTTTTACATACTGAGCGTGGTAAAGATGCCTCTGCTACGTGTTCCTGGAGGGGCCTGCTGGCTAGCCACCTGCCCAAAGACTATGGGCCATGTAAAAAGACATGTTAAAAAGTGACTTCCATGGATAAACCTAACCCCTGAACCGATCTGGGTGATTTTTGGATATGTTGGTCACCCAGATCGGGGCTATCCAAGGCATGTGACTCTAGTGGGGTTTCCATTGATTTTGGGCACTTTTGGGGTGTTTGTAAATTGTATGTTTTTCTGTACCTGGAGATAATGAGATGAGTTTGTACAGTTCCTGATTCAATTATCTCTCAGGCACAGAGGAGGAGTATGTTGAATGTACTGCTTGTCTGTACCTCTACCCATCCCTCCTTTTCCTGTCCTATTGTTTCCCCAGCAGGGCATTGTTCCAGGGACACTGCCAGACCAGTTTAAGCTAGCTGCTTTCTCCCTCCACAATTTCCCACAGCCCTTGCTGCTGTCTGACCCCACCCTTCCTTGTACTATAGTGCTCTATGTACCCTATTGGATAGTAAATGAGGCTGTTGGGGTTAAAATGTGTGTATAAATTGTGAGTGCTTGCTTGGATTAAACAGTCTACTCCCAGTATTAAGCCTCGGCTCATGTGCTATATCTGCTATATTCTCTGGATGAAAGGTCTACCCACTGGAAGCTGGATCCAGGACTTGGGTCCAGGGTGGGCGGAGATGGCAAGACCCCAGCCAAGCTGCAGTGGCTAGGGGCTGGAGGTGCTTATGGTGTCCTGGTGCAATGCTTATGGTACTCGTGATTACTAGGAAGCATGAATTGGCAGAGGTACCCAGTTGGGGTACCAGGGGGTCTGCCATATCTGGTGGCAGCAGCAGAAGGGCTTCCTAGTGGAGTGGAGAAGCATTCTGGAGACACCATATGGATTACAATAGGAGGATAGCACTAGCATCCATGCAGCATCCCTGTCAGCAGAGGAACTCAACGGGATGGAGCTAGCTAGCCCCGGGCAGCGTCCCCATACGTGGATGAGGAGTTCCGGCATGCAATGCAACTACGACTGTCCTTTTTTAACTCTGATGTGCCAGTGGAGATTATCAGGGCACTCAAAATCCACATGGTTGTGGTCTTATAAGACAGGAGGAAATACGAGCTTCAGTTAGCCATGTTGAGGTCAGAGACTGTAGGCGGAGAACTCCAGCATATGGAGTGTTGCAGTGGCCTCTCAGCAGAAACAGTTGTAGTCGGTCAGCACCAGTGTATCCTGCAGGGAGTGGAGACAAACGGTCCCTCTCCCTAGTGGCAGCCGGAGATACCGGGAGAAGAGACAGCTGGTCCCTTTCCCCAACTATGGTGGGAGCTCATGGGAGTGGGGACACCCGGCCCTACTCCCAAATGGTGGTACCTGTTATCTGGAGACAGGACACCTGGAGTGTATGGTGCAGATGGGACCGAGGTCTCTACACCAGACCTACAGGGATGCTGGGCAGCCGGCCCAGCTCCACAACAGCTGGATACAGTTCAGGAGGAGGATACAGGCGGTCCAACTCCACAACAGCATGGTGAGAGCCTGGGAGAAGAGGGTGTCATCCCTCCCAAACTATGGCAGGAATGCCAGGGAGGGAAGGTGGTCAATCGGTCAGGCGGTCTCCACTGCCACCCTCCCAGCAGAAGAACTGGCCTTAGGGCAGAGCACAGCTGGCCACTGCCCTACCTGTTCCCTTGTTCTGGTGCCTGACTACCCACAGGCCACCCCAGCAGAAGCGCTGGCATGCGGGCAGAGCTCAGGTGGCCTCTGCCCACAAGCCCAGACAACTCCATAAATGGGAGCCAGGGAGAGACCGGGGGTGGTGGACATCACGCGCACAGTACCCTGCAACTGACCGGGCCGAGCATGGAGTAGGAGGCTGTCAGGTCAGCTATTTGGTTTTAGGTGGACTTCCCGACTCACTCAGATACAGACTGGCAGCAGGTCTGGTACCTGGTTACTCTTCCCTTGGGGGGGGAGATATGTCACGGACATAACCTCGCCACGGGCTCCTGGAGGACCCTGCCGGTCTGTACCTGAGTCCAAGTTTTCAAACAAAGCTCCAAAATAGTCCTTACATAGATACTGTAACATTATAATACAATAAGTAGTAAACACACTACTATGTATGTTGTCACCACTAATTGCATTTATGCTGTCTAACCTTCAAATATTTTTTCAATACAGTGTGCTAGTAGAAGGTACATTTAATGCCCTTTAAAGCTTTAGCCCCTAACCCAATCAATCTTGTTGATCAAAAAAATATATGAATAGATAGGAATTCAAAGTGATTTCAAAGTGAATTCATCCTATTTTAGTTCAAAGTAGGAAAGTGGAAAATGTGTTTTAGTAAGCTGCAGAGACGCACCTGGTCTAGTTCTTACCCAAAGCAGAGCCATGTGTTGGTAGTCCCTCTTCCCTACAGTATGTCATCATAACACACTCTAGAGTTAATACAGTCAGAAATGGTTAAACAATACCATATATGTACATGCACAGTAAATACAATACTTCAATCACATATATATGTACACTAACACATATATAAGAATTCACACATAACCACATTACTCATCCAAAACATTAAAATCACTAACAGATGAAATGACTAACATTGATTTTATTGTTATAATGGCACCTGCCAAAGGGTGGGGTATATTAAGCAGAATGTGAATAGTCAGTTCTTAAATGTCTTGTGTTGGAAGCAGAAAAAATGGGTAAACTAAAAGTTCTGAGTTACTTTGAATACAGCCAAATAGTGATGGCTGGACAACTGGGTCTGAGCATCTCCGTAATGGCAAGTCTTCTGGGTATTCCTGTTTTGCAGTGGTCAGTACCTACAAAAAGTGGTGCAAGAAAGGACAGCTAGTGAACCGGTATATGGATCATGGGTGCCAAAGGCTCATTGATATACAGTGAGAGTTAAGGCTAGCCCTCTGGTCCAATCAAACAGAAGACCAAAACAGAATCAAATTTCTTAAAAACATAATACTAGCCATGATAGAAAGATGTCAGAACACACATAGCATCGCAATTTGCAGCGTGGGGGCTGAATAGATGCAGACCAGTCAGAGTGCCCGTGATGACCCCTGTCCACCACGAAAAGTGCCTTCAATGGGGTCATGAGCATTGGAACTGGACCATGAAGCAATAGAAGAAGATTTTTCGGTTTAATATTTCATGCTTTCTTTTAGAACAGGTGGATGGCTGGGTGCACATGGTGGCAGCAAGATGCACTATGGGAAGAAGGAAGGTTGGTAGAGGGAATATTATGCTCTGACCAATGATTTGCTGGCAAAGCTTGGGTCCTGGTATAAATGTATATTTTACTTTGACATGTACCACCTACCTAGAGATTGTTGCAGACCAGGTAAACACCCCTTCTATGCTGTTCCCTGATGGCAGAAGCATCTTTCATCAGGATAATGCACCCTGCTACACTGCAAAAATTGTTCAGGAATGGTTTGAGGAACATGACAAAGCATTCGAGGTTTTGCCATGGTCTATAAACTCCCAGGTTCTCAATTGAACTAGCATCTGGGGGATTTACTAAAACGACAAATTCCATCTGTGAAGCTCCCAATTCACAACTTGCAGAACTTAAAGGATCTGATGCTGATTTTTTGGTGCCAGATGCCACAGGACACAATTAGAGATCTTGGGGAGATCATG